TTAGATCAAATCATTTTGCAGATCATCAGAATGATGGTTGGCAATGCAAACATGGCCAATAATGACAGTTATTGGCCATGTTTGCATTGCCCTTTTTTAAAATGTACTTTCATGACGTTATTGTGTGTCGGGTGGTGGTCGTGGCTGTCCAGACTGACAAGTGGGACGTTGAATGTCACCTCTCTGACGGAGGAGGAACCTGAGATTGTGGATTTTTTTTTAATCATATTTGCAGACAGTGTTATATTAATATAACACTATACACCATGGTGAGGGTCCTGTACAGCCCAAGAGAGCGGCAGCATCTCTCTTGGGCTGTACAGCAGCATCTTCCCTTCGTGTTTGCTTCTTGGCGAAGAAGAAAAGGCCTTTCACAGACTCTGAAACAGTGAAATACTGCATGCTGGTCGTGGTGGATGTGGTGAAAAGTGATGAAAAAATTAAAGTGTGACACCTGCTATTAAAAACGTACTCCTGTAGGACAGTTCAAATATTCGTAGAGTTGAAGTTCTGGCGTCAGATGAGTTTGAAATGCTGTTAGATGACCTGAAGAAAACTGATGTAATGTCTATAGCAGGAGATCAGACAGAACTGATAATGCACAGTTGTGCGTATATGTCCGTTTTTTGGATGGGAAATTGCTCAGCTTACTACTGTTAGAGGGACACACAGCTGGCCAAATAATGTTTGAGAAGATTTAAGCTCTTCAGGAAAATGGTCTGGATATGAAGCGTGTCTGTATCCATGGCAGGAACAGTGAGTGGTCAGCAAAATATTTTAATTTGAAAGGGAATTATCAAAGTGTTTGTTATTATTTCAAATGTGCAAAAAATAGTTTAGGTATAGCTCCCTTTTTTGTTTAAATGGACCTTTTGGTGTGCATTTGTGAGGTCACCAGATTTACAGGGGAAAGGAATGAAAAATTTTTTACTTGTTTTCCAATACAGTTGTGTGGGTTTGAAATTGATCATGATCTGCTGCTTACTGGCTTCATATACATACATCCCAGATAAATTCCTCGGTTTGAAAATCTGGCCCAACTAACTTCGTAGTTGAATAGCCATGCCTTAAACATACAGATGACTTCTGTTTGTGACCTTTCACCCTCTTATTTGAGCCAAGGTCAGCCACCAGAATCATCACATCGGTTACAGCTTCAGTTCAGTTTATATGCTGCTCTACTTCATCATTTCTCATTAACAGTCTGCACTTATGTTTCTGATCTTCTGCAGAGCTCCTGTCCGTCATGTTGCTCTCCTGGTACAGTGATGCTGCCCTCTGCTGGACACAGTGGAACCACATCAAGCTCTAAGACTGAAATTATAACCAGTTCCTGTTAACAGGAAACAAACAGTTCTTTATAAAGCTTCAAGTATCAAATATTCACAGTGAGAAGGTGAAACGATTCATGTGGTGCTGAGTCCAAGTGTCTCCATCCACAAGCAGAAATCATGAACCAGCAGCATTCCTTAACATCAAAATATTTATTGGATGAACACGATTAAAATCCATCTCGTCCAATCAGCGTGTAGAACAAAAATTACAATATATACACTCTTTTGTATTTACAGCAGCTGAGGCGAGCAGCCTGTAACGGGAATAAAACCTGAAGCAGGACGAGCTTCATCGTCCGAACATCTCCTGCGAGGCGTAGGTCATGTAGAGGAAGCCGTCCTCATCCTGGTGCTGTTTGTACACCTGAGCCATGGTGAGCGACATGCTCGCCAGCCCTCTGTTGTTGATGAGCAGGTAGAAGGCCTGGCTGGGCAGCAGCGCCATGCGGTTCCTGAGGGGAGGAGCCAGAAGGAGCCACCATTAATCAGAGTCAGCCTGCAGGCTGTTAGCTGCATCAGCACAACAGTGACGCCAGCACGCGTCAGCCATGTGCAGATTCCAGCTATGATTCGAGCATTTCAAGCATTCGTGCTCACACTGGGGGGAGGAGCACATGGAAACTGAGCGAGGGCTGAGTTTAAAGTGAAGCTTGTACAGGTATTCATCTGTCAGAGCCAAGATTATGCAAAAGCTCCATTTGTCAGACTGAGGAGCAAGTGTATGATGAGCGACTGCAGCTGGAGCACCGGCTTCAGTAAAGATACGATCATGTACCACAAAACATGAGACGATCCAAAACATTTGCCCCTAAAGCCACAACTTTGACCCTCTGATCAGACTCTAAGTAGAGCCCAAAACTCATTCACTCACAACAAGATTTGCTTCAGCGTCTATATTCATACTCTGAGGGGGGAATCATCCAACCGTTAGATGAGCCAATTGCTCTTTCCCTTGAGGTCTGATATCCAGGCCTCATTTCTGACAATCAGGACAAGTCACTAAAGCCAAATCAGCCCATCAGTGAACCTGAGCATGTGGAGCTGGTGTGCAACTTTCTCAGGAAACTCCCACAGAACTTTATCGACACCCAGACGTTACAGTCAGTGGGTACGATTGTGGGGCAGCGAGGCTGAGACACCAGACCTTTGTGTTCTTAAAATAAAACTACAATACGTGTCTTTATGTTCACATGATTACAACTACTGAAAACTCAATGTTCCAAATGACAAACAGTTACTGGACGCAACTCAGGTTCTGTGAGTAGACAGAGCTCCTCGATTGGCTTGAGCAGCCAGCCTGTGCGCTCTCTGCTCGAGTCAGATCACTGAGTGATAAAGACTCTCGCAGACATTACAGAGGTCTAAGGTTTGACAGACATGGATTAACTGTTAAGACACATCCTGTCACTTCATGTTTACACAGCAGCTTCCTCAGGCCATCATGGCCGTCACAGATCCTGCTGTGTAAGCATAAACAACAACAAAGGGGTCAATAAAAGTGAAAGAGCAAAAGACTCCAAGTCAGGGGTGTCCAACTCCAGGCCTCGAGGGCCAGTGTCCTACAGGTTTTAGATCACCCTGGGGCTTCACACCTGAATCACATGATGAGTTCATTACCAGGCCTCTGGAGAACTTCAGGACATGTTGAGGAGGTCGTTTAGCCATTAAATCAGCTGTGATGGATCAAGGACATCTAAAACCTGCAGGGCACCGGCCCTCGAGGCCTGGAGTTTAACACCTGTGCTCCGGGGGGGGGGGGGCGTAAGACTCTGGAATAAAAGCTTCTCATTTTTAAAATAAACATTAACTGATGAATTCACCAGGAAAACATTTCTCCTCAGTGTAGAACTGAGGCGTGAGTATTGTTGAGCTCCGAGTTCGTGTTAAAGGACTCCAGCATGTGTTCAGTGAAGCTTGCAGGTACCGGTACCTGATGATGGTGAGGAACTGCGTCATGGTGAGCTCCTGCGGAACCAGGAACTTGGTTTTGTCCAGCGGAGGCAGATACTTTTCCTTGTCGTACCTCTCGATGATGACCTGCAAGGCGCAGTGAGTGGGTGAGAACATAAAACACACCTTCTCGGACTCCGCGTGAGCCCCACCGCGCGCTTACCGGGATCTTGTTGGGGAACTTGGCCCTGATGCCCGCCACTTCCCGTTTCCTCGTTGCTGTGGACAGAAGAGAGACAGTGAGTTTGCTGGACATCAGTGTTGCTGCTGCTCGCGGCGGTGCCGGTTACCTAAACTCTTCCTCAGCTTGAACGGTTTGCTGTGCGGCTGACTTTTCTCGCGCGACGCCATGGTACGTGACGTAGAGCCGGGTCCACATGCTACGGAGCGAGCGCGAGTTAAATAGAGGCTGCAACGCATCAGCTGATTAGCACATGGCCGCATGAGCGCGATTGAATTAGGTTAGAGTGCGGAGCAGGGCCGGCCCCAGCAGCTTTTAGGCCCAAGGGCAGCAGACAGCCCCCTCCACCCCTCATCCTGGTTATTAAACAGGATTATTGATAATGTGCCTTTGAGAGAATTTAGAAAATGTTTAATGTTTTTCTTTAAGGACAGAATTTGTTCACCACAGTTACCACATGTTTTTGTCTTGTGGTAGAGTTGTTACTCTTCCACATTGAAAGGAGCTGAGGTGCCTAGGTGGTTCAGCATCTGCCTCAGATGCCTCTTGGGTTAGATCGTTAAACTGCCATCGCAGAGAGCCACAGCCAGAGAAGCAGATGGATGATGGATTAAAAACTTGAAATTTAATCACATCAGATGTTTAGAAGACAGAGTTCTTAACAACTCATGACCTCTATAATGTAACCTTGATGACACAGCTTGGGGGAGGGGGGGTAACCACACAGTGAACCTCCTGAGGTTGAGACTTTTCTTTGCAGGAGTCCTGGGCAGAGAATCAAGCAAGGGGAGAATGCTCCATGGAAGGGAACCAAGGCTGCCTTCAGCCACTGTGCTCTATAGGCGACTAGTCTTTAAAATTAGCTGCTGTAACAACCAGCTTTTAGAAAAATAATGTGTTTCTTTTCCTCTTCAGCATCATCCGGGTACATAAACCTGAACCAGATCAAGGTAAATCATAGCAAACTGACTACGTAACAGGCGCTCTTCTTCACTTGGACCTTCCTCTGCCAATCACCTGCCACCAGCCAACCATGCAGGAACATTCAGGGCAGGGCAGTTTGAATTTCTAGAATTGTTTCACATCGACTGTTGGAGAAAAAAATGAATTACTGACCGTAAAAGAATACTTATGATTCTAACTGATCACTGATGACCAATGTATAGTTTTTGTGCTGTTTTCCAACCTATTTTGCTGTTATTGTCTCTTTGTATTCTTCTTCTTCTTCTTCTTATTATTATTATTATTATTATTATTATTATTATTATTATCTTTGTCGTTTGAGTCTATTTATATTGGGCCAGTCTAAAGTTAACAGCAGTTTATGAATGGGGGATGCTTACTATTTAAATTGATATTGAAATCAACAGGAAAATAATAAATACATCCAATACATTCAAACAGAATTCAGATCTGTTTATTTATTTTTTACTTAATGTTTATTTTAATAAATAAAACAACAATAATAATAAGAGCGCTTCAGCTATTATATTTTGAAAATCCGGACAGGATGTGGTTGCTGCGTTCGTTCCGGCAGCTCGACTCGCCGCCGCTTTGACAGCTGGCTCGAGCAGGAGTTGTTCGGTTGATGGACCGCATTTTCCTGCGGAGGATATTTCACTGAAGCGGGAGTCAGCACCGGACTGAAGCCGCCCCGCATCGCTCACGGTCCAGCCATGGATGAGCAGGCGGGCCCCGGTGTCTTCTTTAACACCAGCGGCAGCTCGGGCTTACCCGGCGCGGGGAACGTTAAAGCTCCGCAGCCCGGGGACGGCGGCGGAGAGGCGGCCCGGGCTCAGTACAGCATCCCGGGGATTTTACACTTTCTCCAGCATGAGTGGGCCCGCTTCGAGGTGGAGAGGGCCCAGTGGGAGGTGGAGCGGGCCGAGCTGCAGGTAAGCAGCCTCTCGGTCGCAAGGGGTTTCATTGTTGAGGTTGCTAGCAGAACGGAGAGGCGCTGTACCGAAGTCCATTGGAGAATGTGGAAATTGTTCTTAAAATCGATTATCGGTGAATACATCGTCAGAGTAAAGTAAAAGTTGTAGTTTACTTTGATAGAAAGTGTTTTTCGTTTAATTCGGCATAGGTTTAAGCCAATAAAACGTATGTTTTTGTGTAATGTTTTTAACTTTTTGGAGGCTAGGTGCAGTTTGCATGTGCCTTGTCGCGCACGGGGCTCAATACGCAGAATGACGCACATTCATTAAGTAACATAATGTTATGTGTTTGTAAGCGCTTCTTCTCTAATCGTGTTATCGCCGAATTCACGCTCTGATTCCACTGTTTCTAGATGCGGTGCTCGGTACTGGTTTTACTGTTCGTTTCCCAATGTCAAGCGGGATGTGCGAGAATTGCGTAATATTTAAATGGCAGTTTCGCCTTATGCTGTATTCGCTGCGCTCTCTGCTAAGCAGGCTAGCTGCGGGTGACATTTCAGTCATTCCAGCCGGCTCTGTGTGGGTGTGAGCAGCTACCTGTCATGCAAGCTTACGTGTGTCCGCAGCCAGGTCACCTGAGACGTGCCAGGTTTACCTGAGCGGGGCAAACGTGCACGTAGAGCCGTGCTTGCTTTTGTTTGTGGGTTGTTGTTTTTTGGTTGGTTACCGGAATCGGTTAGTTTCCCAAACCGCCCCAGGAGGGCTTTGTCCCACAAAGATCAGTGTGTGTTCAGTTAAACGTGTCCGATAATGGATGCATACCGATAATGGGCGCGTGCACGCTGCGTGATCCCGTCCAGTCACGAAACGTTTGTGTGCAGATTTAAAAGCTGCAACCTTAAACCGAGACCCTGCCGGTGTTTTCCTCTCAGTGTGGAGCAGAGCCTCCGTGGGACAGCATGCAGGGCTCTTTATCCTGCTTTAAAAGAGGGAGGTCTGCATACCTACAGTCAGAGGTCATGTTCAAAAATGAATTCAACATATCTGCAGTGGCAAAGTGAGTCAAAGCATTTAAAAGGCAACAAAAACATTTTCACTTTAAAATGTTCAGTAGTGTCCGTGCTGCAGGAGTTGAAGAGCAGAGTCAGAACATCATAGCGCTGCTTTCTGATGACAGATTTAGTTTATTTTGACAATTTAAACACAAACAAAAAAACAAACATCCCTTTTAATTAAAGTTTGAGCCACTTAGCGACAGGCGGCAGATTATTGGTGTCCACTGCCTCTTCAGTTTATTATCCTGTGGAAAATAAAATGGCTCATATACCTCCCATTATTCCGGATCACTGACACTAAACATGTTTTTAATAACAGACAAACGTAGCCTGTGACGCTCAGCTCTTTGCTTGTTTCTGAGAGTCATCCTACAAAACCAGTTGGGTTAGCGTCATTAGCACAGTCCTTCTTTTCACTCAGTCAGGGGTGAAGTTTTGAATCCAGACTCAGAGATGTCCTCCACTCCCTGTAGGACCAGCGAGGTCAGAGCTGTGTCTGCAGACGTGGAGGTGAAAAGAAGCCTCCTGTTGGGCTTCCTGCTTTCACTGCTCACAGATCAGATCCAACAATCGTAACGGCGCAAAGGTCGGCTGCCTCCCAGCGAGTGCCTCGTGTGTCTTGGGTCAGTCCCACCTGTCCTCGCTGAGCACCGTCATGGTCACAGTACTGAATGATATCAGGGCCCGCCTTCATGCAAAGTATAAATTTGAAAGAAATGAATGGTTGATGCAACGACCCAGCGTGTAGCCCCTTCTGTAGGAGGGATAACCTGCAGTGATGTTTCCTGCGTGACCTCATCAATCAGTCTCATCCCTGTGGAGGATGGACAGACGCTGACTCTACGTTACGTCGTAGAGGAGCTCGTGGTCCTTTGACTGTAAGCGCCGATCTGCTACTTGTTTACATGACCTGTTTACATGACTGTGCGCTCACCTTGGTATTTTTGGTTGTAATTTATGTTTACTGTAATGGACGCACAAGTAGTAGAAGAAGAACGCATCTCTAACTTTTGTTCTGTTGGAGTAAAGTTTTCATTTCCTGTTTCTGGGGTGAATTCCTCGGTGCAGGGGTGACTCTGATGCTTCTGATGAAATAACAAACGCCAAAACGATCGATGCCATCATATTTAATGGCTGAAATCTCTTCGTTTGCACTTCCAGCAGATGTTTTGTTGCAGCGTTATAAAATCAGAGTGTATCGATCCCTGCTGTGCATGTGTGGTGCAGGTGAGCGTTTCCTCCTGTGAAGGATGCCGGGCAGTGAGTCAGACGATCTCACGGCGCGTGGGACGCTTCACGCTCATGTCTTACATAAGCTCGAGTCATCGTCGGCCGAGCTTCACTGACAGCCAGCCCGTAAAGGAATCACTTCCTGTGTGGCGGCTCAGCTGGTGCACCATTTAACCCCCCCCCCCCCCTCCCCGGCACAATCAGATAGCAGGCGTCTCTTTGTGTCTCTCAGCTGTCTGAGTGGCTTTGATGATAAAGACCTGGAGGGGGTTGGAGGGGGGTGACGATTGGAGCGGGACGGCGCTGGCTGGCCGACGAGGCTGGAGACCAATTTGAGCCGTAAATCCATCTGTTCTGGTGCAGACGGGCTGCATGTCATCACGGGCTGAGACGGAGCGTGAGTGTCACTTCCTCTGAGGTAATCCTCCGCAGGGGAGAGGAAGAGGAGGAAGAGGAAGCTGGCACACAAGAACAGGAGAGATTACTCACAGTCTATTGTCCACAAACAAAGAGACAGGGCTGGAAGCTCTGAGCGACCAAGTCTGATTCCCCGTTTCTCGTGTGTGAGTTCACGACACCAGTAAAGACCAGTTAGGCAGGAGCGGTCATCAAAGACGGCGTCTGCAAACACCGTCCAGAGGTCTGTTTCAGGACAGCTAGCAGCCACCTATCAGTCGGAGAGGCCACGCCCCCTCTCACAGCCACCTGTCGGTCGGAGAGGCCACGCCCCTCTCACAGCCACCTGTCGGTCGGAGAGGCCACGCCCCCTCTCACAGCCACCTGTCGGTCGGAGAGGCCACGCCCCCTCTCACAGCCACCTGTCGGTCGGAGAGGCCACGCCCCCTCTCACAGCCACCACCTGTCAGTCAGAGAGGCCACGCCCCCCTCACAGCCACCTGTCGGTCGGAGAGGCCACGCCCCCTCTCACAGCCACCTGTCAGTCGGAGAGGCCACGCCCCCTCTCACAGCCACCTGTCAGTCAGAGAGGCCACATTTGATTCCTTTAGCCTGAAAACTTCGTAAAATCTTTAAAAAGTTCCGGTTTAAGCAGTTCACAGATCAACGAGCTCGTCTCAGATGTTTTCAGGTGCAGCCAAAACCTGGCGTGAACGTTTTCTTCGTTCCTCTGAATGAAGCTCAGCTTCATCCCACTGACAGGAAACAGGAAATTGTTTTTTTCTTTGTTTTTTTTAAACTCCAGGTCGTCTCTGTCAGAAATATTCGAACCAATCTTGTGATGTTACCGGCAGCCAGTTTTATTCTTCCCTCTGTGCTGTTTTATAAAAATGTCTTACCGAGACCCTAGATCAGGGGAGACCACGAGAATTCTGGGTAATTGTGCAGCTGACGGCCTGTGTGGACGTTACTGTTGCTCGATTACACCTTCAGATAAAATAAAAAGGTTTTTTTATGACACGAAGAAGAAGTCATGCGTGAGCAGGGGGAAGTTTGCCACATGGAAAAGGCTCGGATGAGCTTTCCAAAGTTCTACAAGTTGTGCCTCCATCGCTTGTGTCCAGATCACACGCTGCACAGCTGTGCTGCTCCGTCTTTTTCACCGACGTTTACGTGTTTGTGCGTGAGCAGTGTGAGCGGCTGTGGTGAGAACCTCACGAGCGATTGATGATCGGGAGCTGGTCGTGAGGTGTTAATCGCTTCTCGTTACCCCACGTATACTACACGATGCACGATGAAGGCCAAAATCGGTCCGATCACCAAATCGGTCGCATGACTCAAAAATCGTCTCAAAATGGGCCAAAAACCGCACAGTGTGAGCCCAGCATTAGAGCAGCAATGTTTGTTCGCTCAGAGAAAGGAAAAAAGGCTGCAAAAGTACAGGGAGGACTGGGAAAAGGGAAACACCTGGCTGGGAAAATGCATGGTAACACCTATAAAGCGCACTGCACTGTGTGCCGGAGCACTTTTTCCATAGGCATGCTTCTATTGGTGGCACATGAAGAACATGAGGGGCGTGACAGCTCGGGGAACCCTTAACCAATTTTTTGTCCACCAGGCCACGGCAGAAGCAGATATGGTATGTAAACACTGGTTTGTTGTTTAAACCCTCTGGTTAAGGTTATTATGGGCATGTGCAGTGAATATCAGCGCTATGTGGCCAGAAGTGTGATAATATAATTTATTTTGTGTAATAAACAAATGCAAGGATAGATGATTACAACAAATAGATGACTAATACATAAAAGTAATACATAGATGAATAATGATGAGTTATGATGCGTAATCATGGGAACAAGCGGGTTTACAAACAGGAGCAGCTGATTAGCATCAGAAAAGCTGAAATAATATTTCAACTGAAGCCGATTGTACTAAATGCACTAAATGTGCACTGTTACAAGAATGATTTTCTTTCTATTGTTTTCTATTATTTTAAGTTAAGCAGGACAGAGTTCTTTTAAAGAAAGATTTACTTATATTCTCAAAAGTTAAGCATGACAGGCTTCTGTTTAAGAAAGAGACCTGTTTTACTGTGTTAATGTTGTCATTTGAGCTAAAAATAAATGGCTAAATGATCATTTGTTTCCCATGTGTTCATATCACAAAGAATATGCATCTACTTAAATCAAATTCAAGTCAAATGGTTAAAAAAATAATTTCACACACAAAAAAAGAGCTACCACACTGGGAAGGGTGAAGACAACTGGGTCGCCCGGCCCTGGCCACGAGGTGTCCCTTATTTATTTTTCAGGGAGTTGGCAACCCTAGTGTGGATGC